CGGGCCGGGGCCTGGAGTGGAGGGGCGGGATTGAGTCGTGGAGGGCGAGGCCACGGAGGGGGTGGGGCCATTGTTGGGGGCGGGGAGAGGGGCGGGGCCAGGCCGGGAGAGCCGGGGCGGGGCCGCAGAGCCACCGCGCCCGCCCGCCCGGCCCCACCCTGCAGACTACCACCGCTGTGTCAAGAGAATGAACCGCCGCGGGAAGAGCACGCAGCCCTGCGAGTATTACTTCCGCGTGTTCCACTCGCTGTGCCCCATGAGCTGGGTGAGCAGGCCGGGGGCGCGCCGGCGGCCGGCCGCGGGTGCCGGGGTCCGTGGAGCTGAGCCGGCGCCCTCGGCCTCCTCCCCCCACCCCCGCCCGCCCCTTCCCAGGTGCGGCGCTGGACCGAGCAGATCCAGGACGGGACCTTCGCCGGCAAAATCTGACGGCCTGAGTGCCGCTCCTCCGAACGATCAGCGCACTGACCCCGCGTCCTGGCGTCTCCCGGAGCCCCGGCCCCGGCTGTACACTCCCCAGTCTCTAAACCACCAATAAAGCTCTGTTGCTGCTGATATTTCTTCTTAATATGTGGTGTGGGGGCTGGAGAAGTCCTTCCTGCGTCAGGGCCCTGCAGCTAGCACTACTGGTGCTGATGGGAGAGGGGGCAGGGGTGGAAGGAGGATCGTGGGGTCTCCAGAGTGGGATGCAGCCCAGCCCCTCCCGCGCCCGCTCCAGTACCTCCAGCAGCCAGCAGCCCCCGCCCCGGCTTCTGTGGATGACCGCGCTTGCCCCCCAGGGTGCTCCTGACTGTCCACCCCCACACGTGGCCCGCCCTCCATCTCCTCCCTCAGGATCCTCCTCCCCTCTTACCTCCCCAGACTCCTTTGGGACTTACATTCCCAAGTTCTGGGGAGTTGACTGTGTGTCCCCCAGCGCTGACCCCAACTGTCCCTCTCCGTCTCTAGACCCTTTCCCAGCTATTCACCACTCTCCGTCACTCCCCCGCCCCCGTCTGACTCCCATTTCCCCCCAGGTACACCCCGTCCTCACGCTGGAGCCCCTCCCAGCAGTCTTCCGCAGGCCCGGCCCGTCCTTTCAGCACTGCTCCCAGGCCAGAGCAGTCTCCTCCGACGTTCTCCAGAGACAGCTGTCACGTCAGCTTCTCCAGGATGCTTCTGCAGGATGCTCCAGGCTCCTGTCTGGATAATACTTTGCTCCTGCCCCATCCAGGCACTGGATCTGCCTTCAGCTGGCCTTGGAGGTGGCAGCACTGATTCCAAATGCCCCTTGAAATGTCACCTGTCTAACCACCCGCCCCCCTGCTGTCCCCCCCATCCCCCCTCCCGCCCGCCAAGGCTGAGGAGTCACCCTTCACAAGCACAGAGCCCTGGGATTCTAGCCTGGCCTGAGTCCTGGGCAGGGGGAGGACTGAATCCCACTGTTCCTCCCTGAAGCTGTACGCTTCCTTGAACAGCCTGGACCCACACTCTGCCTGAAGTGGTCTCAAGAGGCCTGTTCAATCCTGGGGTTCAAAGGTGGCTATTACTAATCATAACGCCTGAACAAGCCTCTTGCCTTGTGTGCACCTCAGTTTCCCCAGCTGTAAACCCAGACGGTGCACAGTCCTGTTACCAGGAGAGGTGGATTGATGGGAGGGGCTGAGTGGACTCGGCGGAGGACTGGCTCAATCCTGCTCCTCATTCCTCCCATCCCCCTTGACGACTTCTCCCACCCTCGCATACCCTCTACACTGCCCTCATCACCCCATCCGACGCACACCCCCCGGCGTCTCATCTGCTGGGATGTCCGCACCCAGATACCTTGCCCCAGGACTCCCTTGCTCCAACCACAGCCTGAGAAGCAGGAGGGCACAGGAGGGTGTAGGGTGTGCTGAGAGCTACAGGAAGGGCTGTCCTGCTCTAGTGGCTGTGCTGCTGGATCAAGGGACACAGGCAAGGCCGCTCTGAGTCACCGAATGGGGCTGATGGGTGTCTGACACTCAGTGAGGTCACCCAGGTAGCCTCTGACCACAGGGCCTGACACCCACGCAGCCCCAGCCAGCCCCTTGACCTCTCCCAGGGTACCAGTGCCTAGAGTGCTTTGCTGGCTGCCCAGAAGCCACTCCTAGCCTTCCTCCTCCTTTCCATCTTTGGCCCAGGATCCTCCCCACCATCATTCCTCGACCACTTCTGGAACATTTTAAAAATTTTATTTATTTTGGAGAGAGAGAGAGAGAAGGCACACGTGCTTGTGTGAGCGGGGGGCGGGGGTGGCAAGGGAGAGAGAGCAGACTCCCTGCTAGTTCAGAGCCCCACATGGGGCTCGATCTCACCACCCTGAGATCATGACCTGAGCCAAAATCAAGACTTAGACCCTTAACTGACTGAGCCACCCACGTGCTCCTCTTCTGGAAGATTCTTTAAAAACAAAAAAAAAAAGATTTTATTTATTTATTTGAGATAGAAAGCATGAGAGAGGGGGGAGGGTCAGAAGGAGAAGCAGATTCCAGGATTGTGACCTGAGCCCCAGGCAGACACTTGACTGATCCACCCAGAAGCCCCATTCTGGAACATTCTTTACACTCTGCCTCCACGGTCCTGTGGATGCCAGAGCCCAAGGCAGGATCTACACCAACATCATTGCAAACTCCCAGGCCCCAAACTCTGAACACCTGTTCTGCTGCTCCTCTACCAGCTCCTGGGAAGCACCTGATGTCAGCCTCAGGGACCTGCAGCAGCCTCCACGGCTGGAGGAAACTGAGGCCTCTCACTAGTTCTGCCCTCCCAGCTGCACTCCGGCCCTCGCCACCTCCTTCCCTCTTACCGCTCGCCCTCAGTCCATCTCTCCTCCTGCCATCTCTGCAGACCTCAGCCAGCTCCTTCCTCCATCTCTGCAGACAGGCTCAGGTGCCTCTGGAGGCTCAGAATCACCAAGGGGCTCAGCGGCCTTCATCCTTTGCTCCCTGAACCTCCAACCTCAAGGCACCCGCTCTCCCTCTCCCTCCCCCCGCCATGGAAGCCCTGTGGTGCAGCTCCAGTCTCGCTCTCTGGTGTCTGCCTTTGTCAGAGCCCGAGGAGCTTGGAGAACTGTTCAAGTCCCAGCTACGGGCCCTGCGGCCCCAGACAGACTCCCTAAACCCTCTGCACCACGGTCTTTCACCCCAATGCGGTGATGGGAGGATGCCGCTGTTAGGGGTTACACAGCGCGGTGTTCTCGGGGTGCGTGTGCAGGAGGCTTGGTCTGTGTGGGCGATTCGAGGAACTCAGAATTAGTGCGGCGCTTCAGTGCTGGTGCCCCACGCCACACCGGACGGTGGCAGCGGCGGGAAGCCCGGATCCCTCCTTGGCCAAGCGGCTCCAGGCCGGCCGGCCCACAACAGGGGCCTGGAGCTGCTGCAGCCATCTGGCCAGCACTCGGCGTTGGCAGGGTAGGAGAGCACCCCCGAGGGGACACGTGGGCCCAGGGTTGGGGAGCTGGCCTGGGGGGCACCTGGCTCTGCTGCCCTCCCAGCCACCAGAGAGAAGGACCGTGAGCTGGGGAGAGGAGAGAGCAGAGCGCAGCCCGCGTCCTGGGAGCCGCAGTTACTCCGTTTCTCACAGCGCCTTCTTCCCTTCACCGCCCGGTCTTCCCTTTGTCCTCCCTCAGGCTGCCTGGATCAGATGGGGCTCCGGGCCCCAAGGCCTGCGGCCCTTACTCCCCCGTCCCCTGGGGCCTGAGCCACCAGGGGGAGCTCCTGATGCCAAGCCCTCCAGGGCCTGACACTTTCCTGGCCTCAACGTTTTCCAGTGGCGCTGGGCTGGGGGCCCTTATGGGGGCGGGGCTGGTCAGGGCGGAAACTGCCAGCAAGGTGATGCCGCAGGCCATCTGTGAAAGGGGCCACAGTTCCTGCCCTGGAGGTCTTCCCTGACTCTCAGCAGGGGTGGCCTTGGCCCCAGGGAGCCATTGGGAAAGGTCAGGAAACACCTTTGTCACAACTGGTGCCCCTCAGCCTACAACAGACATTAGCTGGCTCAAGATGGAGACCCCGACGCTCCGCCTCTGATCTCTGCTTTTGGGGTTCGAGACACTCTTGAGAATCAGAGGAAGGCTTCAAACCCTCTTCCCTGAGAAGAACCCACAGGCACACATGCACTTGCTACATTTAAAGCAGAATTTCCAGAGGTTCCCGTGGCTGTCTGGGAGGCGGCTCCCGGCTCTGAGCCCTGTCCAGAAGCCTCGGTGAGGGCACCTGCTCGCCAGTCCCGGCGGAGGCCCCTTTCTTTACAGACGCCATCCCTCTGCGTTCTCTTCTCCCTCGTTGTTAACAGGAGGGAGGAAATGACCAGGGCCACTAGGAGCCACAGGGAGGAGAGACGGGCTCTCTCACTGTCTCCTGAAAGGAAGGGGGGTGCCCTCTGCAGATGGAAGGAGCTGGAAAAAGGTTACAGCTCCGCCGGGTCCCGCACCTCCTGCCGCTCAGCCCCCAGCCCCATCTGATGCTCCCGCAGGAGAAGGCCTCAGGCCCGCACCCGAGGTCACTGGTCTAGTGAGCTGTCCTCATTTCTTGCATTTCTTGAGCACCGCCTGGGGTGGAGGGGAGAATGAGGGGGCGGCAGAGTCCCCACTGAGCTGGGTCCCGAGCAGCTTGAGCAGGCCCACTGCCCTGATCCCCCAGAGCTGGGCCGACAGCACACGGACGAGGGTGCGGGCGCAGCGGACTTCAGAGGGGTGGCCGGGCCCCCTGTGCCGGGGGTGGAGGGCACGTAGCGAGTCCCTCTGCTTGCTGGACCGTCACCTCGTCTGAACGATGGCACGCGTCCTCTCTCACGTGGGGCCCTCTTCAGAACCGAGATGTGACTCTTGCCTCTGTTCCCTGCCATCCCCAGCGACAGCCTGTGGACCCTTCAACCCTTCCGAACTCAGAGGCCCCCGGAGCCCTGGCCACTTCCCCCCGGCCCGGTCTCCCAAGCAGGGCTGAGGGTCTCAGCAGGCTGACAACATCCCCTCAAAATGTCAATCAAAATGAAAAGCTACAAAGGGCGCTGCTTATAACAAGGTTTTAATAAAATAAAAAGTTCAAGTGCTTCCAATCCCCCAACATACCCCATTCTGGTGTGGGGGAGGGGAGGGACCCCCCCCACACCCCAGTAGCACCAGGGATAGCACCATGAGAAAGATGAGGTCGCATCCGGCCTCCCTGAGACCCCCCCCCAGCTGGTGAGGACGTGTCCCAGACAGCCCCTTGCCTCAGACAGTCGCGGAGCCAGGAGCAAGTCCACTCCTCCCCCCTCTGTCATGCTGTCTCTAGGCAGTGCCACCCTGGGTCAGCTCTGTTGCCTCCTGAGGCCTGGGCTTCTGGGGAGATGCCACGGGGCGGCCCCTACCCCTTATGGCTTTGCTCCCTGGGCAGGAAGGAGGTGGGTGGGGAAGGGAGCAGCTCCCACAGTCCTGAGGCTGGAGTTGGGGTAGGAGGGCAGCAGTGGCCACGGTACCCTGCTGGGGTGGGGGTGGCTCAGGGGACAGCAGTCACAAAGGGTCAGGGGTCACACCCCCGGGTGTCCCCAAACCAGCCCAGCCCAGGGCAGAACTGTGCTGGGGCCTAGGGCCAGCCAATGGCTCCTTCTAGAGGTCAGTGAGTCCCCAAGAACTTGGGGCTCGGGAGGAGGGGGGCGAGGAGAGACTCCTTCCTCTCCTGGCCTGAGGCCTCCCTGTCCAGCCTGTCACGGCCCGTCACTGTTGATGTCCAGGTCAATGGAGCCATGGCTGACCACCAGCCTCAGGCGCTTGGGTGGGGAGAAGGGGGCAAAGGCGAGGGCCTGCTTGGGGATGGGGGCAGGGCCTGGGGTCCTGGCCAGGGCAGGGGTGGCAGGTGGGGCCCGAGCCACCCGGCTCAGGTCCACACGCACCACGTAAGGCAGCCCGTAGCGCCGGGCCCAGTGCCAGTCCTGCTGAGGGGCCCAGTGGGCACGGGGGGCTGGGCCCAGGGCCACCAGGGCCTCTGCACGCAGGCAGCAGCGGGGGCCACAGCCGCCCCACTGGTGCAGGGAGACGCGGGCAGCGCGGAGAACGGGGGGCGCTGGGGCCCGCCGCCGCTGAGGGCGTCGGCGCCTGCGGGGTCGCACTCGGAGTGGGGGCTGCGGCAGCCACTGGAGCCAGAGGGGCGAGGCTTCCGGGCGAGCACCGCAGGGCAGAGGGCAGCAGGGCTGGCAGGCTGCTGTGGAGGCCCGGGGAGGGGGGTGCGGGAGAGAGAATGGAGCATGAGCTGGGCTCTGGCAAGTGCCCCCCCCCCGCCACCAAGGGTAAGGGCAGGAGGTGGCAGGACAAGGGGGGCATGGGGGGGACGGAGGTCAGGAGCTGGCAGCACAGGTAGGTGGGCAGGGGAGCCGGAGGTGGCAGGACAGACAAGGGCGGGACTGGGGGGGCGCTCACCACAGAACGGGTCCCGGCGCAGCGCGGAGAGGTGAGCACAGGCCCTGGGGCCCAGCAGGCGACCACCGCCGTCCAGGCCCTGCTGCAGCCTCCGCTTGGTCTCCCGGAGCTCATACTTGTCCAGGGGCCGTGGGGGCAGGAGCTCCCTGGGCCGCAGGCGGAAGGCTCCTTCGCCTTTCCTGGGGGTGGCGGGAGGGAGAAGGAAGGAAGCAGGCCCTGAGGAAGCACATCCGGGTCGTCGCCCTCCTCCCCAAGACCCCTCCTGGGCACCTCACCTCTCACACGTGTAGCATTCACAGTGCTCGTTCTTCTCCCCAAAGAAGCCCTCCCCGTAGAAGCAGGTGACCTCGTCCCCTGGCTCGATGTCCCGGAGCACTTTCACGCAGGCCGCGTTCCCATCTGCGGGCACGAACTGGGGGCCCGGGCTTCTCAGCGCGGGTCCTGGCGGCTGCTGGCCTCCACCCCTCCTAGCCAAGCACACTCCCAGGGCTGGGACTGGGGCAGGGATGGGGAGTGGCAGGGGTTGGGAGCCCAGAGTCCTCTGGTGGGGGCATCCCTCCAGGGCCTGCCCTCTGCACACACTCCCTGACCTCCCGCCCATTTGCTGGCCCCCACCCTCCCTGCGGGATGATGATCCAACTGGCCCCTGGCAATGCACAGTGTCTGCTCTTTCCTGCACTCCTCCTCCACCCCCAGACCCCCCTAGACCCACAACTCGCTCCCCGCCAACCTGCACCCCAGCGGCCAGGTCCAACCTCTGCCAATCTTGGCCGTGTCCCTTCCCAGTGCCCGTCTGCTTTGCAGCCACAGTCTGCGAGAGCTGCCCGCCCGGCCCCCTCCTGCCTCCTGTCCCTGACCCCACTCCCACCTCCTGCCCCTGCCTCCTGCCTCTGCCCCCTGCTCCTGGCCCCTGCTCCCCGTCTGGGAGGAGTGGGACTCCCCTCCGTCCCTGCAGTCTAGCCCCACACGTGCTTGGGGGTGGCTCTCACCACCCACCCACCCTCCTGATCCCCTGCCAACTGGCCGGAGCCTCCGTGCACAGCAGGGTCTTCTGTCCTTGTCCTCTCTATTCCACCGGACTCCAGCTGGAGTCAACCTCTCACTCAGTTACATACTAGGTCACACACCAGCCTCTAGTCCCTCTCCTGCCTGCCAAGCCTGTGGCTCACGGACCGCCAGGCCATCTCAAAACCCAGCCCCATCCTTCACCCAGCCGGAGTGTCCACGGTGATGACTTGAGCCCCTCTGTGGCACACAAGGCCAGAGTCACTGTGCCGGGCCTACCTCCTGGCCCTCCACTGAGGTGTATCCGTCTGGGATGCCCTGACACGCCTCAGTTTTCCTCCAACACCGAGGAAAATCCTAGTCCTCCTTCAGCGCCCGGCTCTGGCGGGACTTCTGGGCAGCCTCCCTGCTCCGCACGGGGCCAGGCCGGGGGTCTCCAGGTGCAGGGGCACTTCCTGTGTCCCCATCACCACGCTCCTCCCTCCAAGGGGCGCAGCCATGACTCTGGCCATGGCCCCTGGCCCCCTCCCCCCTCCGATAACTGCAGGCACAAACAGAGTTGTGGCCCGGGTGGGGGGCTCCGGCCACTTTCTGGCTAGTCACATGTTGCTCCCCGGGGCCCCCTCATTTCCCCCATGCCCACTCCTCCATTGGGGGGTCCCCAAGTCTCACCTTACAGTTGGGTTTGCAGTCTAGAGCATCGAGGGGAGGCGGGGGAGAGAAGAAACTCAGGTGAGCGGAGGGCTGGGCAGAGCGGGGTCGTCCCCCATCCCTCTCCCCCTCCCCCACCCCCACCCCGCCCCGCCCCCACCCCCACCATGGTTTATGAAGGCTGCAGGGCCCAGCCACAGCTGTGCACTCCGTTTCCGGGTGGAGTACATGATGCTGAAGTCGTTCTCCCCAGCCCTCAGCAGCCCCTCGTCCGCCTCCCGCAGCTCTGCGATGCAGCCCACCAGCAGTTCCAGCTTCTCGTTCTTCTTCCTGCCAAGAGGCCAGGCCGTGGGGCTGTGAGCAGGGCCTCCGACCAGCCCAGTGTCTCAGCGGATGGGGGCCTCCAGGGACCGGGGCACTGGGCCTCCTGCAGGCCGCTGCTGCCACCGTGGTCCATCTCCCGGCTTTTGACAATCCACTCACCTCCCTGGGGTGCTTCCTGGATCCAGCATCCTCTGACACAGGATGACACCCAGACAGGCACCCCTCCTGTGTCTGCTCGCCCTGGGCTCGTCCTCCAGCCCCAACTGCCCTTGGGCCTCACACAAGTGGTTCTTCTACCTGGACTCCCCATGAGCACTAGTAACACCCCGCAAACTGTCACCCAGCGCCACCCCCACCCCCCGCCATGCTTCAGCAGACTCGCTGGTGGGCCTCTGCTTAGGCCAGGTTCCCAAGAACACTCAAAATTCCCTCATGGCTCCTGAAGACCTGAGCAGCCGTGGTCAGGACCTGTGGGGGTACCCGGTGACCACCTGCGTCCTAGCTACACCGTACGTGGCTGGCAGGGTCCGTCTTGCTCACCCTCCTGTCCCTTACCCAGCAGTGGCCTCTCCTGCCCTGGCCTCCTGCCCCCCTGGGCACAAATGGTACTTCCCCAGCAGTCCCTGGAACCCTGGGGTCCCACGGGGTACTCATCTCCCACTGGGGCTGCGGTAGTCAAAGAGGGTCTGTGGGACTGGGCAGAGGTCTCCTCTCCCAGCAGCCTCCAGGGCCCTGGTGTGTGAGCTCCGGCCTCTTACCAAGCTCTGGTAGACACGATCTTGGCTCCATTTGTCTCCATGGAGTAGCGTGTACAGGGCAGGATGGTAAAGCCGCTTTCAGGCAGGAAGGCTCGGAGGTAGCGATAGATCTGGGGGAGGTGACGGGGTGGGTGGGGTAAGGAGCTGGGGCAGGGTCGTCCTCGGCCCTCTCTCTCCTGGGTCCTAGGCCTGCTCTGCCACTGACTTACTGTGTGGTCTTGGGGGCCTCAATTCCCCTCTTGGGGGTCTCAGTTTCCTCATCTGTCAAATGAAGAGGTTGTGCTCCACCTCCGAGGGCCCCCAACTCTCCTCTCCTAGGATTCTCTGAGCCTCGTCTCAGATGGACCCAATGGCTAGGAAGTTAGGGAGTCTCGGGGGGGGGGGGGCTTCGCGGAGGGGCCTGGAGCCTGGGGCTCCAGAAGCTCTGCCTGGCAGGGTGGAGGACCCAGGACAGGCCGAGGTGACAGGGAGGACACGTGGGCTGAGGGTGGGGGAAGGGAAGGGCGCCCTCACGTGGGTCTTGAGGGCAGCCTCCTGCCGAGGGCCCCGGCTCTGGAAGTAGTGGGCCATCCAGCCTCCCAGCGTCAGGGCCCGGTACGCAGCCTCCAGGTCCCGCTGCCTCAGGAAGGCCTCCAGCGCTGAGCGCAGGTGGTGCTGTCGCCGCAGCGGGGGCACGGGGCTGGGGGAGAGGGCACGCCTGGGTCCCAGGGCCTTGGCCTATTCCCTCCGGGCCTTCCCGGGCCCCGCCCCCACCCCCACTCGGGGCTGCCGGGGTGTGGAGGAAGGGAAGGGGTCCCGGCTGGGCCCCGGGTCCTCCCTGTCCCAGGCCACCTCACCTGACGTTCATCTTATGGGTACGGAAGCCGAGGTAGGGGTCCAGGACAAGGCTGGTGGCAAGGTCGTCGTTCTCACACAGCTCTCTGGCTGTCACTCTGTCGGGTCCCATGGTGCCCCACGGACCATGCTGCCTCTGGCCCAGAGTGGAGGGGGCAATGGAGGGGCAGGGGCAGCGCCCCGGGACTCCCACTTCTGAGCTGCACGGAATTTGGCAAGCCTTTTGGTCTCCAGTCTCATCTACAAATCAGGGTGTAAAGCAAGACTGACTTTGCAGGGCCCTCAGCGAGGACGGGATGCAACAAGTACTCCGACAGCGGGGAAGCCCCGAAAGGACGCCCGTCACCGCATGAGTATCTTCACACTCTGGGGCACAGACACAGTCCCCTGGGCACACACAACCCACACACTCACACGCAGATTCCCTCATGCCCCCTCGCACCCCCCCGCCACACACGCACACGCACGCACGCTCGCACAGTCCCTACTGGCCCAGGGAAGGCTGATTAACTGGCAGTCAGGGATAACCCTAAAGGCTTAGCCTGGCAGGAGGTGGGAGTCGGGGGAACCCATCTCCACTTCCAGCCCTCACCGAGAAGTCCAAGGCTTCCCACCCTCCAGGACGGACTGTTCCTCCACCCACCCCCACGCTTGTTGGCCTCAGCCTCCACCTCCCTCCCGCTTCCCCGTCCTCCCCCCAACCAACAGCCCCTGGGAATCATCAGGAGGCTCTGGGTGAAGCCCCAGGCAGCCTGGAGGGGGGGTGAGGGGAGGGAGAGCGGAGGAGGGATCCCAGCACCTGCTCCCTCTCCAAGGATTCTGGGGGGGGGGTGCTCAGAGGACAAAGCAGGGAAGGGGGGAGAGAAAAGGAATGATATGGAGAGGCAGAACAGGTCTATCAAAAGGGGAGAAAGAAGGGAATTAGCAAAAGGAAACAAAACAAGACCCCTAACCCTGACGGCGGCGGAGGGCCGGCTGGGCATCCAGACCATCCAGACCGCGGTGCTTCAGGGACAGTCCATGGGGGACCGCAGGGGAGGGGGAGTCGAAGAGGGATCAGCAGCTAGAGCTGGGGGAAAGGGGTTCTAGAAAAGACAGGAAGGCTGGGGATGAAGGAGGGGGCGCTCAGAGAGGGCGCCGGACCGAGCGGAAGCTGCAGAGAGGCATGTGGGTAAAGACGAAATACACAGACTGCACAGAGGGGCGCTGGGGCCGGGAGAGGGCCGGGGGTGCCTGCTGGACCCGGAGCACGCCGGGGAGGCCTGGGCGTCAGGGACGACCTCGCGAAGGCCAGAGTGGAGCCCTGGAGTCGAGGGCAGGTCCCGAGGAGGTGGAGGGGGGCCTAGGGGTCCACAGCCGGGCTTGGACAGGCGGAGAAGGCGCAAGTCCCTGCCCGTCAGGGAGGAGCAAGCCTAGGGTCCAGGCAGGGACCTGGGCAGGCACTGAGGGTCCAGGAGCGGGGGCTGAGGTCCGCGGCAGCAGTGGGGAAGCAGACGGGGGCCTGGAGGGCAGTGGGAGTGCGGGGGAAGGGCCTGAGGTCCAGGGAGGGGAGTGGAGAGTCGCAGGGCGACCCGAGGGGTCCGCTCAGGCCCGGGAGTGCGGGGAGGGGCCTGGGTGAGGAAGCACAGGGAAGCGGCTGGGCTCCCGCAGCAGCCTGAGGCCCGCCGAAGGGTCGGGAGACGTGAGCGCCTGGACACGAGGAGGGGCCGGGCGGGGCGGGGGACGGTCGGGGCTGGGGGCGACCGGGAGCCAAGGCGGCGCGGTCTGGGGGCCGAGAGGGGGCTCAGAGGTCGGGCCCCGCGCCGCCCCTCACCCGCTTCTCCTCCTCCGCCTCCTCCTCCTCAGGCACCCGCGCCGCCGCCGCCACCACCTCCCACTGCCTGCTCCAGCTCTCGTCAGACACGGCCGCCGCGCCTCCCGTCTGCGCCGCCGGGCCCGCCCCACCACCGCCAGCCGGAGCTCCCATTGGTCGAAGCGGTCGCCGCTCCTCAGAGGCTGGGCGCTCTCGCCGCTCCCATTGGCCGAGTCTCGCTCGTCCCCTCCCCGCCGGCCCTCTCGTCCCTGCCCCTACGAAACCCCGCTCCGCCCGCGCCGCTGCCAAGCGCCGCCGACGGCGGCTAATGGCTCCCGTCGCTGTCCTTCCACCGCTGCCATGGAGACTTGCCCCGCCCACTGCCCTGAGTCGACGCCCTCATTGGCCGAGAGCTTCGTGGCTCCAGGCTAAACTCGGGTTTGGGTCAGGTTATTCGGGTCCAAGCGGGGAGGGGGCGGGCCCTGTCGTCTCCATTTCCCGCGTGTGATTGGCCGGCCCTGGAACGGCTCGTCCCTCCATAGGCTAAGGCCTCCGCCCGTCACCGCAGGAGTCGCGACCGGCCCATTCTCTTTCCCCGGTGAAACCTTCGCGGACCGCGGGCAGAGAGCCGGGGCGGGCGCGAGGGGTGGGAGCGCGACGGCGCCGGGGCTCGGCGGGCCGTTGCCGCGGCGACCAGAGTTTATTGACAGCCCTGCCCGGCTCCCGAGGGCGCGTCGCTCCCGCTCTCTGCTCCACCGCCTTCGCCGCCGCGAGTGCCCCGGGCGATTTCGCGAGCGCCCCGAGAGCTCTGCGGGCGAGCGGGTGGGGGAGGAACCTGGGAAGCGCGGCCTTTGGAGAGGGCTCCGCGGGGCGGCGCCTCCCGCCGTCCGGATCCCCAATCTGCTCCCACCCTGGAGGCGCACATGATCGGCAGTTCACCGCCGCTGCGCCCGGAATAACGAGCTGCGCGCTCGGGGCCGGCGCTCTTTGTTTCGCGCGCCGCGTGTGTCTGGTGCGCCGGGAACAGGGCCCGGCACGGGGAGGGCGGCCCCACTGGGAGCCGACCGAATGAGCGCGAGGCGGGCGCGGACTCTGTCCGCGTCACTCTGTGGCGTCGGATAGGCGGCTCGCCCTCTCTGGCCCTCGGGCTCGCGCTCGCCGGACAGGGACCACCCGCGCCCTCGCTGAGGGTTTCTCCTTAACACCCTCCTGGGTGTCTTCTATCCGCGCTTGCAGCTTCCCTCCCCGGATTTCTGCTTATGTTGTTCCTTGCCCAGCCGGGACGACCCCCTACCCCAGCTCTGACACCGCTCCCCCCAACCGAGGTACCCCCCCCGCCCCCCAGTAGGGATGGTCACAGCTCCAGAGGGCGGCAGCGGCCAGCAAGCAGAGAGGACTCTGAAAGCTTAGCTCTCTGGCAAAGTCCTAGCAGCGTGTCCTCATCTTAGAGGCGCAGCCCTTCCATCCGCGGGTGTCCGCCCTGGATCAGCACCAGCAAATGTGAGCAGAAGGATAAGCTCCTAACGGAGCTTACCAACGGTGTTGGTAGCGGTAAAAAACTGGAAACGGCTTAAATGTCCATCACACGAAGAATGGGTAAATGGATCGTGACACGTTCATACAGGGGAGCACCATACAGCAGTGGAAGTGAGTGAGCCGCGCTCCCTATATCCACCCGGACAACCCCAAAGCGTGTTGCTAGCTGCGGAAGTCTGCGTAGCGGAGCGCGAAGTCTTAAAACCCACAACACAAGGGTGGTGTGTGGATGCGTGTTTTAAATGCGTATAAACATGCATCGGGCGACAAAAGGAGGAGGGGGACCCGATCCATGACCCCTGCAGGTGGAGGGGAAGGAATGAAATCAGGAAGCCACACGTGACATTGGTATTTGTACCTTTTTTTTTTTTTTTTTTTTGGTAAGCCCAGAGGTGGAAACCATGAGTTCACTATAAACACTATCTATTGTTTTTCTCTCCGTCAAAAGATTTCATAATATGAATAAAAATTTGACCTGCTGGGCACCTGGATGGCTCCTTTTATGATCCCAGAGTTCCACCTGGGGCTCCCTGCTCAGTGGGGAGTCTGCTTCTCTGCCCCTCCCCTGGCTTGTTCTCTCTCTCTCTCTCAAATAAATAAGTAAAATATTGGGGGGGGGGGGGAAACTTGACCTGCCAATTCCAGGGTTTTATTCGAAGGAAATAACTGACAAGCGTTAAGATATTTGTATAAAAGGGCACCTGAGTGGCTCAGTGGGTTAAGCCTCTGCCTTCGGCTCAGGTCATGATCTCAGGGTCCCAAGATCGAGCCCCACATGGGCTCTCTTCTCAGCGGGGAGCCTGCTTCCCCCTCTCTCTGTCTGCCTCTCTGCCTACTTGTGATCTCTTTCTTTCTGTCAAATAAATAAAATCTTTAAAAAAAACCCCAGAAAAATAGAAAAACCCTTTGTGTCCAACAATAGAAGATTGTCGGATCACAACAGCAAATCCAGCAGACGGAATAACAACAATGCTTAGCAGTTCCTGAGCTCTCAGCATGGGCCAGTGACTTTGCAAATAGCCGTGAGAGGGAAGGGCTGTTATGACACCCATTGTGTAGATGAGCAAAGTGAGGCTTACAGAGGGGCTTGAACAGGCCAACAGACACCAGAGGTTTACTCTCAGACTCAGGGCTACAGTGCCCACCTAGCATCCTGTGGGTTCTCAACCTCAGATGGCACAGGAAGAGGCACCCCAGAGAAGGAGTGAAGCTCGGACACAAGCCGTAAGGCAGATGGACTGTGAGATCGTGCCAGGTAAAAGGAGCCAGATGCCAAAATTTGCATATGGAATGTTTCCATTTCTTTCTTCTTTTTATTTTTTTATTTTTTTAAAGATTTTGTGTATTTATTTGGCAGAGAGAGAGAGAGACTGAGACACAAGCAGGGATATCAGCAGGCAGAGGGAGAGGGAGAAGCAGGCTCCCTGCTGAGGAGAGAGCCGAACATGGGGCTCGATCCGAGAACTCTGGGATCATGACCTGAGCCGAAGGCAGACATTTAACCTACTGAGCCACCCAGGCGCCCCTCTTTCTTCTTTTTAAACAGATGTATTTATTTTAGAGAGAGTGTGTGCAGGGAGGGGGTGCAGAGCACAGGGAGAGAACCTCCAGCCGACTCCCCACTGAACATGAAGCCCTGCTCAGGGCTTGATCTCATGACCCTGAGATCATGACCTGAGCGGAAATCAAGAGTTGGACGCTTAACCAACTGAGCCCCCCCAGTCACCCGGGAATGATTCCATTTCTATGAAATTTCCAGAATAAGTAAATCCATAGACACAGAAAGCAGATTCATGATTGCCAGGGCTGGGTGGGGTGGGGGGAGGATTAGAGGAGACTGGGGAGGGGCTAATAATAGGTATGGTGTTTCCTTTTTGGATGAAAAGATTCCAGAACTAGGGGCGCCTGGGTGGCTCAGTGGGTTAAGCCGCTGCCTTCGGCTCAGGTCATGATCCCAGGGTCCTGGGATCGAGCCCCGCATCGGGCTCTCTGCACAGCGGGGAGCCTGCTTCCCTTCCTCTCTCTGCCTGCCTCTCTGCCTACTTGTGATCTCTGCCTGTCAAATAAATAAATAAAATCTTAAAAAAAAAAAAGATTCCAGAACTAGAGAATGGTGATGTCACAGAACATCATGCATGTACATAAAGTCATTGAACTGTACACTTCAAAATGGCTAAAAGGGTAAATTTGATGTTAAGTGTATTTTACTACCGAAAGAGAGAGAGAAAGAAAGAATCACCTGAGAAATACAGTGAAAATATAGATTCTAAGTCTCAGGCGCCAGAAAGCCCTGTTGGGTATTTAATAATTAATTATTTTAGGACAGTGCTGCCCAAGTGTGGTCTGTGCCCCAACAACCTCAAGCAGGATCACATGGGTGCTTGGTGGGAGTGCAGAATGTTGGGCCATATCCCAGAATTCCTAAATCAGAATCACCCAGACCAGTGGTTGGAATGTTCTGGAATGCTTTAGAGGCATGCCTTAGAGTACACCTTTGCAGGTGCCTTTTTCCGACCACATGTTCACTCGCTGGAGGGACAGCTTACTAACTCCTAAAACTTGTTATAAGACTGTAATTTAGGATGACCATATTTCAAGGGGAAAGGGATATCTATTTATATGCATATATAAATTACATGATTGGGGACCAGGATGTGGAGAAAGGGGAAACTTTGTGTCTGATTATGGGAATGTAAGTTTGTGCAGCTGCTATGGAAAACAATATGGTAGCTCCTTAAGAAATTAGAAATAGAAAAAAAAATTAGAAATAGAAATGCCACGTTATCCAACAATTCCATTTCTGGATATTAGCCGAAGAGAATGATCACTCCTGCAAAGAGATATCTGCATTTTCGTGTTTATTGCAGCATTATTCACAACGCCCAAGACGTGGAAACCACCTGAGTATCTGGCAATGGATTGATGACCAAAAAAAAAAAAAAAAGTTGGGTATGTATGTGTGATGGACTATTATTTCGCTGTAAGGAAGGAGGGAATCCTGCCATTTCAGCTCTATGGAAGAAACTGGAGGGCACGCTGCTGAATGTGATAAGAGACACAGAAAAACAAATACTGTAGGATCTCAAATGCATGTGGAATCTAAAGAGTTGAGTCCTTCGAAGCAGAGAGCGGGAAGGTGGTTACCGGGGGTTGGGGAGGGAAGGGGAGAGATTGGACAAAGGGTACAAACTTAGAGTTGTGACATGAATAAATGACTAGAGTTAACAATACTGTATTGTACACTCAAAGTTTGCTTAGAGGGTAGATCATAAGACACACGCAGAGGGTAACTGGGAGGTGAGGGATGTGCTAATCAGTTGATTGTGGTGATCGTGTCACAGTGTGTACATATATCAAGCAGTTATACTGTAT